ACAGAGACAGAGAGAGAGGGAGAGGGACAGAGAGTGTGTGTGTGTACGTTATGCATGTCATGTGTGTGACGTATGTATGTATGTATGTATGTATGTATATATGTATGTATGTATGTATGTATGTATACGTATGCATGTAAAAAATATACGTATACACGTTTATATGCAAGAATGCATCCGACCATGCCTTACATTCGATTACATTACAATGGACTACTTCACACTGCATCGGATAACGCTGGATTGTGTTGCACCGTTACAGTACAGTACATTACAGTAACACACGCTTAGCTCTCCAAGATAGGGTCCCCGTGCGGGTCCTTTCAAAAGGGTGCGGTACTATTTTGGAGATTCAAAATTTATAGAACTGCGCAAATAGTGAGCAGGCATGAACAGACATTGGCCGCATCCTGTGTAATGTACAATGCACCTGTCGCGGCCGCTCAGTGTCCCGTGCCCTGCGTAACACAACTTAAAATACCATCACAGAGCATGATGCATCGTAACAAAACATAGCACAACATAACCGACCATAACATAACCTATCATGACATTAGGCTTCTAAACCGTTTCTGAAGCCTACAGACACACGTTCAGTCTTTCAAGCCACATCCATCGCACCAGCTTGTTGATCGAAATTTCTTTAGGTTAGACAGTGACCTTTCCGGGCTTCAGGCCTATGACCCGCAATCGCTGTCCTTTCGAGCAGCCATACTTGGCGCCTTGCAGTCACTGTCGTTCGGTCGTGCAGGAATGACGAAACACACACACACACACATGCCACCATGGCACGCAACATCTCGATGACACCGCCGATGCCTTTAACCTTCCATGGTGCGCATACCACGACTGCACAAGGACGCCGATTGCCGCAGCCACCGACCTCTGAGGTCAGCGGACCTTCGAGCTCTTCCGTGACAAAGCTGTCCGGATCCGTTTCCGGCGGCGGTGCGAAACGAGAATTCTCAGACCGCACTTCCTGCAAGCAGCGACTTCTTAGACAGCTGGGGCGCCTGCTCACACTGTATTTGCGGCATACGTCTGGCCTGTGGGGCTGCATGGATGAAGGCGTGCGCCGCCTCCGCGGAGAAGACAGGCATCGGCATTGTTTCCGCCGCCGGCTGCGCAGGTACAAGGCACATCATGCAGCACGGCCGAATTTGCAACTCGTGGAGCGCGAGCTGTCTCTCGTTTCTCTGAGCCTTTGGTGGCTCGACCTTCTTGCCGCTGGCAATCAGCTCGAACTCAATCTGGGCCAGGACAGGCCAAAGCTGAAAAGCCATCGGGTGATCAAAGAGTCGGAAGCTCGGAACTCAGCCTCCATTTCTCTAGCCCTCTTTGCCCGGGTCTGCAGCACAGCAACAGGATCCCGACAGCCAGACAGAGTCCTCAGGGCATGTGTCAAAAAGCTACTTGTTTGCATTCAGCTCGGTTGTCCAAAAATTACAACTTGACTGAGAGGGTCCCAGCAGAGATGACCCGCTTCTGATCATGCGGGTTCATCAACTTCAGGATCTCTTCTGACTGGCAGTGTCGCAACACTTCGAGCAAGCTAACTTGTCTCCAGCATGGCCTGGAGCTACGGTGCCACTGTTCTTCCGTCAGGAACTAGTAACTAGCGTGCACTGCCTCTGGGGTCATCCATCTCCGATTTGAGGCGATGAAAGCCTGAAAGACATCCAGTCTTCACATGCAAGGAGAACCGTGCCATGTGTGCCTCGACCTCATCTTTGCTAGCAGGCCTTGAGAGCCGTCCAGGCGAGGCCTTGGCAGGGACGGCAAGCAAAAACAAACTCTGTGGTGGTGACGTTGGTGCTGGCTGCAATACCTGGCTGCACGTGCACGGGCTTGGACACCATTAGCACCGAAAAAAGACAACCGGGAACACGAAACAGATGCGCACAAACACTTTAAACATAATTTCCCATCGTCACTGAAAAACACACTGATCGGACAGGCAAAGGTAATGGCAAAGGCAAAGGGATACCTGGCATAAGTATCATACATGTTATTGCAAGAGGACGCTGCGACGCATGAGCAAACATCAGGTACTCAGCAGAAAGACACTGCAGGAGAGAAGATGAAGCCACTGCTCAAACAAGTCCTAGATCTACTTTACCGCGAGGCTTGGGATGCCCCACCGTGCTTTGTGCAAAAGTTTAGAGCAGAAGTACCGTCCGCTCAAATTTGGCTGCGGGGGCTGAAACCTGGGTAACAAGCTTCAATCGGTTTGCTACCCCTTTCCGCGATAGGTGCCCCCACCCGCATGTCAAGCGTTTAGGTGAAGCACAGGTCAGTGCACTTTGGGGGCTGGCTGCACCTGCCACAGCGCTTTCAGGCAGACTACCATGTGGGGTTGGCGAAAGGCGGTCTCCCCAAGCAGCTCTGGATTGAAACTGCGGTTCCGAAAATTCCAAATTCTCGCTGGAGGACTGGAGCTGATCTGGGCTGAATAGCATTGTTTGTAGTGGCATAAGCTGCGGTTGAAGACGAAGAGGCGCCCCCACATACTCCCGGTCAGAATCCACTGTCCGGGAATAAAACACCTTGAACCGTCAGCCTGGCCCTGTTCCCTTCGATGGCGCTATCTCCGGCACTTAATGTCTACAGGGTATCGAAGGGTTGTGGGCCATGCTTCCTTCACTCTGGAGTGTTTTATTTGCCGAGGCCTTGGGCCTTCTCTTGGTGTGCGCACCTAGGAACCAAGTCGTAATAACCCACCTTCTAATCACTAATCCCTCTCCCAAACACCAAAGCTACCAAATGCCATCAACGTTTCAGCTAATTTCCGTGGTAGAACCTTCCAGAGCCCCGAGGCTTCCCGCACCCAGTCTGGTGTTGGGTGTCCTTGTTCCGTCGTTTGTCGTGTCCTTGGCTTCCGTCGGGGCTTCCAGGACCCCGTCGTCGAGCGCCTTTCAAGCCTCGACTCTTGGTCTCAGACGGCTCGAGCTTCGTGTTTCTGGCGAGTCCCGGACATCTGCCGGGGCGGGTTTGCTTGGCGACAATCTTTTTCATGGCAATGTGTTGTTCACGGTCCAGGCTTGCCCAGGACAGTCACATTTCACGTCTAATTGAGCCTCCTCGTAGCCACTTCACCTCACTCTTCCTGCAGATCTTCGGGTCGGGAACTGTCTGGATAGCGGAGGAGAACTCGCCGATCTCTCGATGCTTCGACATCACCCTTGGTCAGATATTCCATGGTGCTACTACCATGCTGCTCATGGCTGGTCGTGTAGGAATTTACGTTGCGTTGCTAGCCGTATCTGGCAAGACTACCCCTGAAACACAAATGACAAACAAGAGAAGAGTCGGCTCAAAGCAGAAGGCCCACAGCCCTTCTTGGGCTTTGACGCTTGCATTCTCAGCCAGGTGAGCCCCCTGAGACATCTGTTGCAGCATTATGCCACTTGACTCTGCCACAAACTGTCCGACAATGAACCTGCTGGACAGTTCACGGGCAGTTGCAGCCTGGATCCTTCTGAGGCTGCAGCCGACAGAATCGCTTCTTTTTCTTTGGCCTCGGACCATGGCTGGAGACAGCCCCGGAGCGGCCCCCAAAGCGGACGTGTCAGCATTAATGTAGGCGCCTTGATGATTAGAATAGGGCTTTGGGGTATACTATAATTGTAGGGAGGAACCCCCAAAATAGTATAGGTTACTAATTAGGCTCCCATATTACATAGCGGAATGCTGGGTTCGGGGTTTATAGGATATAGGAGAAAAGGCAACTTAAGGTCTTTTAACCAGCACATACGCATCAGCTAACCCCACACCCTAGACCCTAAATCCTTCCTTTTGGGACCTGTGGCCTCGAACCGTCAACCCTGCCTCCAACCTGCCCCTTCCTGAACCCCCGAACTGCCCTTTAAAGGGATCTCTGTGCTACAAGAAAGGATGGTTGGCAAGTTGGGGGGGGGGGGGTTCTAGGCTACGTGTCAGCGGCGAATCCACGCAATCAAATTGCATCACGGCCACCTGCCGAACCCGCGACCTCATCACGCCGACTGCATCACGGCAGCTCACCTGAGTCATCGCCCATCGCCAGCTGCAGAGACAGGCAGGCAACATCGCCAAAGCCTGAAATCAGGCGACGACTAGCGTGCCACCGTTGATGACTCGTCGCTGGTCCTCGGGCATGAAAACTATGCTGTCAAGTTCTCAAATGAGCGCGGACAAACTCAAGGCTTAACTTAGGGACCTCAGGCGGCATGTTCCGGAGCTCCACAGCTGCGCTGTCTTCAATCCATCGATCTGTCACATGAGCCACATGCATCGAACCACCGAGCCACCGACGTCCGCTTGCTCTCAGTGCGGGAGTCACTAAATAGCAGACGACTCACTTTCATAATCTTACGATCCCCACCCCATGCTCACAATGCCACTGCGTTCATGCGAAGCTGCATCACTATGGCTAGCGGTGCTTGCCCAGCTTGCGAGGAAACATGCCGCGACTGGCTGTTGGCGGAGATGAAGTTCTCCACCTTGGGGCCAGAACAGGGCCCGAATGCTCAGGACTTCTTGCAGATTCGCCAGGGTCGATCTGTCCTAAACGTCACAAAAAGGATGGTGGCATCAAAGGCATTGCAATAGAAGGCACCGGGTGTTGGCAATGCTGCATCTTGTGGTTCGAGTTACATACTGGTGGCAAGAAGCTAGTCACCGTCGTTACAGAAAGAACGACAGGATGAAAACCGTCTGCAATCAAGCGTGGGCCGGGTGAGGGGCACCTGGAATGAGTGCTTCGCAAACAAGAGCTCTGTGAAACGAAAACAGGAAGCTCGTAGATGGGCTGTGCCACCGGGAATAATGCTTAATCGAGAGGTGAGACCAAGCCCGGGCTGCACGTAAAGCGAGACCTACGATGCAGACGGCATGGCTCAGGCGGCGAAGACAAGCCCCCATGTGAAGCGCCGAAAGAAATCTTGCTGAAGCATCGGTTTGGAAGTACGATGACCACATGAACTCGTCCGACAGGTACAAGTACATCTGGAAGTGGCTACACCCACTAAGTGCTCCACCTCATCTTTGGTAGCCGGTTCGACTTTCACAAGCCTGCAAAAGGCGCAAAATCATTGCAGGAAGAATCCCGCCGCCGGAGCCTGGGTGTAGGCGTGGAGCTCTCTGTCGATGGCCCGGCTTCCAGGGCCATGGCTGGGACAGCGGCGCTTTCTGCTCGTGAAGACGGAAGGCTGGGAGCGGCTGGGCTGGGCCGGGCTGGGGTTGTTTTTGTTGGGACTCCGTGCTGAGTCTGACTCGCGCCCTTCCGCGAAGTGCCGCTGTTCGTCATGTCGAATCACAGAGATGCTCGGGGAATCACATTGAGCTGTTGGGACATGTATGCTCTGTCTGCTCTTTTCGAGCTGCGCGGAATGAAGGCAGCGCGCGCAAAGGCATAGGGCTTCCGCACCTTCGTCCCCACGATTTGAACGTGACTTACCGTGCCGGTCCACAACTTCATTGTCGATGTCGACATCTGCGCTCATATTTTCCCCAAGGCCAAAAGCTCCTGAAGGTACGATGTGAAGCCAACAGACACATCCATCTTGACATGTCGAACAGATGCATTAGTGCATGAGTTACTAGTTGACGGAATGTAGCAGCAAGCTTCATGAGACGGAGGCGCTAAGATCAATTAAAGCATCCGCAGATATCGTCGGGCAAGCTCCTCTCATGTTCAGAAGTTCAGGCTGAACGAATCGCAGCTTGCAATCCGATACCTGCGTTGGTGCCACCAGTAGAGGTGGACACGTCAGAAATTGAGGACATTAGCAAGGTGAAACACAAATTGAGCCGCAGCAATTCGCACCGGCCCTGAAAATCTGTCTCTGAAGGCATCACGGCTTGTCGCAAGCTGTTAGATGCACACGAAGCGCAGAAAGCAGCATGCAACCAGACTCTACTGTACAAATACGCTACAATTTTCCGGGCTGTCTCATTCAGCCAAGGCAGGCCCAAGTGCAAACGCTTGAGCACACGCGACCGGCGACGCAGCAGGTCTCAGAGTTTGGGCTGCGTGCCGCCATCACAGCCTGGCGCCATCTGGCGCCTGGTGCCTAGCGCCTGACTGCCAGCACAGTGCTGCAAGGAGCAGGAGATAAGACCAAGCGCTGCGAAAGATGAGTTCCGGGCTGAAAGGGCAGTGGCTGAGTCATCCTCCAGAAAGTCAGGAAAGCCGCAAGCCGTTCTGAGTAGAACCGTTGTAAACGGAAGAAGAAACTCTCTAAAAGCAGCAAAAGCACAGCGTCGACTGCGCCGATGCCACGGGCTCGGCCTCAAAGTGGGCAAAAGGCACGCAAAAGCAACGAAAGCAAAGGGGGACAAGGACGGAGGCTTCGCAGCTTTTTGAGGACCGCTTCACAGCGGCTTTGCAGCGACTCTCCGGCTCGGGCCTGGAGGTCGTGACCAGGTCTCGGGAGGCCACACTTCCGGCAGAAGTTGGAATCTGACCTTTGCTTTAAAGAGCTCGGAACCAAACCTGGGCCTTACTGCAACCAAGAAACATATAGATGTTTCCACAGTTGGCACAAGAGACCGTTTCCAGTGAACGCGAGGTGGTGATCGCAGACAAGTCCTAGCGGCTCAGAGGCTTGCTTGAAGAGTGCGCAATAGTGCGCAGAGTTTCTGGGGTATCGAAGGCTGCCGCGCTCTCGAGCCTGCACTTGAGAGCAGTTGAGCAACTGCAAGCAAGCTGCATGAGAATTCGAGCTTTGGCCGTCTTATGTTTCGTCAGTGAAGGGAGCAAACAACAGAAAGCAACTGGCCATCCACTGCAAAGGGCCAGATATGACTAGACTTGAAGTCTCGCAATGTTGACTTTAGCACAACACTCCTGAGTTGGAACCTGTGTCTGGGGAGTCGCAGCAACCTAAGTGGCACAGCCAGGAAATGTCGTGTCATCGCCATCGCACAATCTTTGGCAGGGCGCTTCTCCGCGAGATCCGAGGACCGTCACCGGGCCAGGTACCCTGCACAGCCGCACACGACGCTGCTTCGGAAGAACCAGACTTGAGGGGTGAGACCCAGCCATGGTCTTAGGCCGAGCGGACGTACCACAAGTCTGGAATTGACGAGGCACGCAGTGCCAAGACGTGCAGCGCCAGTGTATGTGGCGACAGCACGGGCAGCGCCGCGGTCCTTCGCGGGGATTGACAGCGGGTGGTAATCGAGAGCGTGCTCGTTCTGTGCTTTTCGAGCCTGCTCTAGAAGCCGGACCTCTTGCCACGCCCCTGGAAGCCTCAGGACATTGCACAGTAGGGCGGAACACGAATCACGGTCGAAGTGCAAATCACAACACTGTACCCTTGGATGTCGCGCCAGCCTACCAACGCTCCTTGTCCGCCGATGTCCCAATCTGGAATGGAACTGTGAAAGAGACGTGGCAGACTTCTGCTGCACTAAACCTGGCACGCTCCAGCAGCTCAGCGGGAAAGCCTGCATGCGGCACTAAACATTAATTATCTTGCTTTCTCGATGAGCCATAAGCATCCGAGCCGCCAGCAGTCAGCAACATACTCACTCACGACTTTGTCGTGCTCAACAACTGCATCAGTCTCACTCTCGAGAACAGATTTTCAATCCATCGACACGATTCGATTCAGACTGGAAATTATGGCGTTCGTGACCTTGCTCTTTGGCAACCCGCAAAGGCATTCGAGTCGATCCACGCTGGAAGCATGTCACCATGTCGCTCCACGCCAGTGACAGTCACCAGGCGATCGCACCTCAAAGACACTGCAGCCATTGGCTAATCTCGGTGTTCACCTCCGCCATTGCATCTAAATGTACTCGATGAGAACACGGCTCAATCACGACGAAACGGTAGCTTTCTAAATAGTCCGCAAGATCGGCGAAAAGGCCCTCTTTGCAGATGTGGTCATGCGACCCCTTGAGGATTAGCACCGGCAATGTGAGCTTGTGATGGGAGCCCAAGACCTTCAGGGCAACGCAAACTCGTGAAATGCTGTGGGGAGCTACTGCCCCGAACGCCTCCTTGTGCTCAGACTGGCCACGCAAGAGCTCGCTCCAATAGGTGTCTCTGCCATTTAGAACAGAGCCGATCATCTTCCGCACCAACCTGTCAAGAATAAAAGAGTTCAGCTTGGCTTGCTGATGACTGATGACAATTGTATGTGCATGCAGTGGGAGACAAGCAAGCAAGGTACATTCTGTAGTAGTTCAGATGTCCTCTTGCAGCGTGAGGCTGCAGAAGATTTGCGCGGGAAAGGTGTAGGAGCTCAGGTCTCACCTGTGCTCGCCTCAGCTCAGCATTTGTTGGAAACGTTCTGCCAAAAAGCCTCCGTCCATGTCAGTGCATACCACCGCAAATCTGCATTGTGCCCAAGGTGCTCTAAATCATTAAGCAGCACCGCTCCAAGGAAGGCATTCCTGAAGGGCAGCACGAAGGGCAGAAGGGCATTTCCATTTCGTTCTGCTTTCGCTCCGAGGCTGAGAGTAGGCAAGGCTCTGAAAGGTGAGCAAGGCTTCTGGCAGCTTTGGCATGCTGAAAGCTAGGATGTAGAGCCAGCTGTACAGCTGCGACAGGCTGCGCAATCCACGTGCGCAGGCTTCCAGTGGGGGCATAGAGAGGGATACGAATCCAGCCACTTCGGGAGCATCTGCGGTAAGGGTCAACAGTCGCCAGCCAATCAGCGCACCCACACCGTGGGCAACCAACACCGGCTGCTGGCCACACGTCTGCCTGACCTAAGCTGCACGGTCGCATCCGGCAATGGTTTTGACTCTGCTGGATATGGTGTGCAGCATATGCAGGCGGCTTCATGCAAGTTGAAGTGCATAGTCCAGCCCAGCACGCATGTCAGCAACAAGACACGTCTCCAGATCATACATCTCAGCCTCCAATGGTTTGTCGCTCAAGCCACACCCACGCAACGACATTGCCATCACCGGATGTCCCAAGGATGCAAAAAACTGCATCTGACCTGCATTCTTGCAAACTCTACTGTATTGAATACTCTACTAATCTCTACTACAAGGCGAAAATACAGGCTTGCCCGGTTCTTGTCTGGCAGGTGTTTCTCTGCATACCCTGGTACTACCTTTGCTATCCTGAGGCTCGAGGTTTACCGAGGCAGGAGTTAACAATCGCATCCCTCACAATATCGCAAAACCTACTGACCATATTCACAAACATGGCTGTGCCAGCTGCTTCAGCCAACCTCATGAATGCTGCCAGCAACAACAACAACAATATTGTTATTATTGGATGCTGAGCGAGCGGGCTGTGCTCATAGCCGGCGACTTGCCATAGCCATAGCACCAGCTGTACATAAAAGTCAGAGTAGGAAGATTGTGGCTGTCCAGTTTGGGATCTCTTCGGGTTCCAGCTACCACGATGCCCTACACAGACAGGGCGATGCCCCATTGCAGACTCGAGCGGTGCTCGGTCTGTGAGATTTGGATGTAAATTGCATCAGCTTGAGCTGTCAACCATAACGGTGAATTGTTGCTGTAAAGGCGCCTTAGCAAGCATTCAGGATCAGTCGTCTCAGGTAGGAGCTGTGCGGTGAGATGAGCCTCCGACACCCTCAGCGTGAGCCAACGCTTCCGATGCTCACGAACCAAAGCCTGGTGGGTCGTACTCCAAAGAGCCGGGTCCCGGAGTGCCAGTCTAGTGGCGTCCCACACTTATTGGTCACCCTCAGACTGAGGGTACCAGCCATGCTGTTAGTGCAGGCGAGGGTCATCCAAAAGTGTCGCGTCGACCTGAACTTAAGATTTGCCTGTACAGAGGTATGTGAATGGCTGAGCGGCGAATGCTGTGCTCTTCTGTGGCAGGCATCTTGCAGTTTGTCTTTGTTGCAGCTCGCATATGCGGTCAGTCGATGGATCGCTGTAGAGACAAAAGAGCGAAGGCTGGGGCAGAATCACAATGTTGGGAAGGATAACAGTATCATTGTCGCAGGCAGGTCAAGCGAGCAAACGGTGGTGAAAAAGCAAGTGAGAACAAATGGGAAGATGGCTGCACAGCCATGTCGGGACGGTGCCCGTATTGCTTGCAAAGTCGGTGCCTAAGCCCTTGTTGCGTAGATCATCTCCAATTTGAGCGACCATACTGGTTCCATTCGCTACAGCCACGCCAGCCCACGCCAGCCTTTCCAATCACCCAATCACCCCAGCCACGTGCTTCATCGTCATCAGGAGGTGGGGCTTGGCGTGTTCGGTCGCCAGGCCGTGTCCGCTTCAGAACCCGATTCGAGTCGCTGGAGCCTGTCATCGGGGTGGATTTTTTTTTGGGGGCTTTTTTTTTTCTTTGGGTCT